TTCGTGGCTCCCCCAGGGGGCGGCACAAACCTGTGTCTCGGGTCGTTGATGGCGAGTTCCTGCCCCCCGTACCGGTACCTGGTCCTGTGCTGCCTGGGTGGGTGGAAGCTGGTGTCTTTCCCGGCTGAGTCAGGTTGGTTCTCTCTGTGGGAATAGAACCAGCGTCTGTCAGGGGTGGGGCGCAGGGGTGAGAAAACTGGAGCCCTGGTGTCTGTGGTTAGTTATACAGGGAACGTCTCCTCCCACCAACCGGCAATGGCGGCTCTTCCCCGGCACAGCGAGACCCTGAGCGCAGATACAGCCCCTGCCTGGCTCCACGGAAACCGGAACCTAAATCATTACTGACTCGTATTAATTACCGGGGCCAGTTCCCCCGTGTGCTCGGAGCTGTACAGACACACGACACAGAGACGGTCCCTGCCCCAGTCAGGTGCCATTCACACCTGGAGTCACTGCGGAGCAGGTCTGGGCACGGCTGTTCCTATTTCGGGGGAGGAACGTCCCTGTGTCTATAGAACTACAGGGGAGCTTGTCTGCCAAACGGGGCTGTATCAAACCAGGGGGGGCAAATACCGACAGCCCAGACTCGCTCTGAGATCACCAGTGGGGGTTGGGAACCACACGGGGGATTCATCATTTTGGGTCGTTTTCATGTAGACAAAGTCTTATTCCATCTTCCTATCCGTCACCAGACGTGCTCCCATCTGTCCACCACCTACGTTCCCAAGAACCCATATCCCCATCGATCCATTGCCGTCCGTTCCCATGGATCTATCCATCACCCTCTATCTAGAAGAATTGAATCCATCAGTTCTGTCTGCAGGGACCATCCCCCTCTAAACAACCCGAATGGCCCCATGGGCGTCTGAGCGGGGAGCCCTGTTTCCTGGGGGGTGAATTGTTCCATTTCTCCTGCTCACCTTCTCCATCTGGCTCTGTCGGGGGGCGGGGGGGGGGGATATCCGTCTGCTGGGACCCAGGTGGGTCGGTTCCCTCAATGGGATGAAAATGAGCATCGGCTGGGATGGGGGAGGGAGGGTACTGGGCACCCAGCCATCGGCCCTGAAACTCCAGCGGATACTGCTGCTCCCTGGCTGGGGAACACCCCAGTGACTCCATCCCCGCTCCCCGTTTGGGCGTCCCCTCTACTGGGCCCAGGGGTCAGGGCAGAGCCTGGCACTGAGTGTCCCATTGGGGCCAAGACCCCCTGAGTGTCCGGCTCTGGGTGGGGCTGGGAACGGGGACACCAAGTCAGGCCCCTCACCTGTTACCACCAGCTCCACGAGGTCGTTGGGCTCCGACCAGACAGGCAGGTCTCACTTGGTGCTATATTGGCAGCTGTAGCTCCCTCCATTGCCCTGGTCTGTGGGACCCCCGGGGTGGGGCTGTGCGTTGGGGGGAAGCTCTCCCAGGCCCTGTCCCCACCAAGCCAATCTGGCATCTGTCCAGTGACTGCCCTCCCCCCGCATATGGAATGAGTCTGGGGGGTGTTCAGATGGGGCATTCGCTTGGGGATCTGTCCCCATCCCACCCAGCCAGCCCTTCATGGCTCCCCCCCGGGGGCAGCTCCTTGGGCAGCACAAACCTGTTTCTGTGGGGGTTGATGGTGATTTCGTGCTCCCAGCCCTGGTACCTGGCCCCGTGCTGCCTGGGCCGGTGGGAGCCAGTGTCTTTCCCGGCTGAGTCGGGTCGTTTCCCACTGCGGGAATAGAACCAGCATCTGTCAGGAGTGGGGGGTGGGGGTGAGAAAGCTGGAGCCCTGGTGTGTGTGGTTAGTTACACAGGGACACACACCCCCACCCACAACCGGCAATGGCGGCTCTTCCCCGGGCTGAGCCGGCGTCCCTGGGGAGAGGACGGGACCCAGGGATTTGGGCCGGCTCAGCGCCCCCGGGATCCCAGAACGGGGAGGATCGGCCCAGCGAGACCCTGAGTGCAGATACAGCCCCTGCCTGGCTCCACGGAAACCGGAACCAAAATCATTACTGACTCGTATTAATTACCAGGAGCCCCCGTCATGGGCCAGCTCCCCCATGTGCTCGGAGCTGTACAGACACACGACACAGAGACGGTCCCTGCCCCAGCCAGGTGCCATTCACACCTGGAGTCACTGCGGAGCAGGTCTGGGCACGGCTGTTCCTATTTTGGAGGAGGACGCCCCTGTGTCTATAGAGCTACAGGGGAGCTTGTCTGCCAACCGGGGCTGAATCAAACCGACAGCCCAGACTCGCTCTGAGACCCCTGGGCAGCCCCTGGGCCCCAACTCCTCTGTGCATCCCCAGAGCCGGGGCAGCCAGGGGAGCATCCCCCTCGGAAAGCCCCTTGCTCTGCAGCTCCCCCTGGGGCAGGGATCCCCCCTCCTTCTGCCTCCAACCTCCAGCAGCTGCTGCTCCCCCCTTGCTGGGGAACCCCCCAGTGATTCTGTCCCTGCCCCCCAGCCGGGCGTCCCCTCTGCTGGGCCCAGGGCTCAGGGCAGAGCCTGTCTCTGAGCGCCCCATTGGCACAGAGACCCCCTGATCAGGGGCGTGCACAGGAATAAAAATGTGGCCGCTTTTGGAGGGGCACTTTGTGTGCCTCCTGCAGCCAGAGGAGCTGCCTCTGCTCCCCAGAGGAGTTCTGAGCTCCGGCCCCATTGATTCAGGGGGGCCCTGTGCCTCATTGCCCCCCTTG